ACGGGACTTTCCTGCTGTGAACAGGCAGGCAGCGGGCATCTGGGCGAGAACGATGACTGAGCACGTCTCAGTGTGTGTGTCGCTTCACAGCGCAGGGTGTTCTTTCAGCAGTCTGGGTTGGATCTCTGTCCTTTGTGAACGGGAAGTTTCAGAGGGCTTGCAAAATTAATAAAACTCTCCCTGAAATGACGAGGGAAGGTTACCGAGGGTTCTTGAAACCATGAGGAAATAGGCCTCCTTCCCTCTTAAGGGAAGTCACGTGTGCACAGGCACCATCTGGTGGTCTGAGGGTCCGTGCTTTTGAAGTATTTGCAATTCTCCCAGAGAGGTGGGCAGGGTTGGCGGTGTCACCAAAAAAGGTTTGACTCTGTCATGGGCACAAGATACATGGCTAGGGTTTGCCTGGAGCCACGGAGGAAGAAGGAGAATCAGGGATCATCAGAGGAAATGGAACGTGTCGCTAATTGCATCCATGAACAATGAATGGTCTCCTTTGAGGTGAGACCAGAACTGGATGGTGCCTAGCTACCACTGCTCAACATTTTGATCAAAGAGTCTGGAGCCAAGTTGGGGATAGAATGAAGAACCAAACCAAAAAAAATGGACTCACCACCATCAGGTCAACACCAACTCACACTGACCCATAGGACAGAGTAGACTGGCCCTGAGAGTTTCCTCCGTAAACTGTTTACAGCAGTGGAAAGCCCTATCTTTCTCCTGCAGAGTGGCTGGTGGTTTTGAACTGCTGACTTTGTGGACCACACCCTAATTGGTAACCACTATGTCACCAGAGCTCCTTGAATGAAGAACAAAATGTCAGCATGTCATGGAATCCATACGTCCTAGAACCATGGAGACTGGACCAACCACCCGCTCCCAATGCTGTTGCCCTGAAATAGGCTTTGAACCTGAAACTTTAAACTGAAAAGATCCCCCGAAGTCCTCCTAAAATCAAACAATAGTTCAGCTTCATTTGTAAAGAGTGTCTGCCTCAAGCACTGTGTTCTTGGAAATTCTAGCTGGATGGGATCCAAACCGCAATCACAGCTCAAAAGTTTAGATAGGAACCTTGAGGGCCAGTTCAGTTTGTGCTGATGCAGAGGAACGGCCCAAGGGAGAGGAGATGAGAATGGTTGCCCAACTGGAAGAAAGCCACCCACGTCACAGATTTGTACGTGTAGAAACTGCTGAACGGCTGCATGTTGTGCTGAGTATATTCTCGACAACAACAAATGAGAGAGCATAGATTTTTCTTAAGAGCGGGATCAGGCGACCCTTTAAACCTGATATGGGAACCTTAAGCATGTACATGATATGCTGCTACATAAAGGTTCAACTCTCCCTTCATCACCCATGCCTCCAGGAAGCAGGAAGAGCTGACGAAGACCATCTCATGGAAAGACAGTAGATGTAAGGCTCTGGAGATATGGCTGCCCACCCCAGGTGCCAAGTAGCCACCAAGGAAACCGGGACTAGACCCCGACTTAGACCCAAAGACAAAGATGCTGACTCGGTCTTCCCTTTGCTGGATAACTACCCCAAGTGACAGCGAGGGGGCAGCATAAGCTAAACCCCTGGTGGCATAGTGGTTACAGGTTGGGCTGTTAACCATAAGGTCAGCAGTTTGAAACCACCAGTCGCTCTGTGGGGAAAAGATGGGCCTTTCTACTCCTGTAAAGAGCTATAGTTTGATAAATCCGCAGGGGCAGTTCTACTCCGTCTGCTAGGGTGTCTAAGAGTCGGAATAAGTTCAACAGCAGAGAGAAAATCAAGGTTCCAGAGGATCTCCAGAAAGGTGAAGAAAGGGCCCAGAGTCCACGCAGAGCTCTCCGACCCCTGAGAGGGGAGCCGTTGCACGACAAATACAAAGAGTTTGCTTCTTAGCATGAGCGCACATTTCACTCTCTGGAGACCAGGCTGAGAGATCCTGAAAGGGCCTTACTGGGCCAGGGATGCAACTAGGAACCCTGGTAATGTGATGGTTATGAGTTGGGCTGTTCACTGCAAAGTCAGCAGTTTGAGACCACCAGCTTCTCCTTGGGAGAAAGAAAAGGGTTTCTACTCCCATAAAGAGTGACAGCCTGGAAACCTACAGGGGCAGTTCTACTTATAAGTCACTATAACTCAGAAGCGACTCAACGGCAGTGAGTTTGAGCTTTTAGGAAGGAAATCGAAGGGATTCAGAAATGACAGCCCAGTCTAAGTAGCACTTTACTGTAAACCTGGACTTCTCCTCTTGATTCTTATAACTTCCCAAAAGTTTTCCAGAACTGCTCATTCTTGCTCACCCCTGTCTCTGGGCCAGAACAAAAAAACCACTCATCGAAAGGAGGCTGTAGAGGGAACCGATTACAAGGAACTATATGTGACCTCCTCCCTGGGGGACAGACAACCGAAAAGTGGGTGAAGGGAGACGTCGGACAGGGCAAGATATGACAAAATACCAATTTATAAACTATCAAGGGCTCATGAGGGAGGGGTGGTGGGGAGGGAGGGGAAAAATGAGGACCTAATGTCGGGGGTTTAAGTGGAGAGAAAATGTTTTGAGAATGATGTACAAATGTGCTTTACACAATTGGTGTGTGTATGGATTGCGATAACAGTTGTATGATCCCCTAATAAAATGTTTAAAAAAAAAAAGAAAGGAGGCTGTGGACACCTGCTTGAGAAAAGAAAAAGACTGGCATGCCCTGGGGCCTCAGTTTCCCCATTTGTAAAACAGGGTGGTCAGACTGCATTATGGTCTCCAGGACAGCATGAGTCTCCCCCATCTCTTCACTGCTTCCAGGTGGATGAATGAGCTCTGGGAGCCACCCGCTCAAAGGCAAAGGGCCAGAGTTTGAATGATGGCAGCAGGTCTTTTTTTAAATTTTTTTTTAATCATTTTATTGGGAACTCGTAAAACTCTTATCACAATCCATTCATACATCCATTGTGTCAAGCACATTTGTACATATGTTGCCATCATTGTTTTCAAAGCATTTTCTTTCTACTTGAGCCCTTGTTATCAGCTCTTCATTTTTTTTTTTCTCTTTTTAAACATTTTATTAGGGGCTCATACAACTGTTATCCCAATCCATACACACATCAATTGTGTAAAGCGCATTTGTACATCGTTTCTCAAAACATTTTCTCTCCATTTAAACCCCCGACATTAGGTCCTCATTTTTCCCCTCCCTCCCCGCTCCCCCCTCCCGCATGAGCCCTTGATAGTTTATAAATGGGTATTTTGTCATATCTTGCCCTGTCCGACGTCTCCCTTCATCCACTTTTCGGTTGTCTGTCCCCCAGGGAAGAGGTCACACATAGTTCCATGTAATCGGTTCCCTCTTTCCTACCCATTCTCCCTTTACCCTCCCTGTTTTGCCACTCACACCACTGGTCCTATAGGGCTCATCCATCCTGGATTCCCTGTATTTTCAGTTCCTATCTGTACCAGTGTACCTCCTCTGGTCTAGCCAGTCTTGCAAGATAGAATTCGAGTCATGGTAGTGGGAGCGGGGAGGAAACCTTTAGGAACTAGAGGAAGGTTGTATTTCTCATCATTGTTATATCGCACCCTGACTGGCTCATCTCCTCCCCGAGACCCCTCTGCAAGGGGATCTCCAGTGGCCTACTAATGGGCAGCAGGTCTTAAAAGAAGAAAGTAGGTTGGTCGCCATAATCCAGCAAGAATGTGAAAAGGGTAAATGGTCCTGGGATGCAGAACGGGCACAAAGGCAAGGCTGCACAGTGCCCACTGGGGTTCCCAAGAAGGAAAAGAAGAGCGAGAATGCTGCATGGAGATGGCAGGCAAGCCACAGCATTCGGAGAACAGACACGCCTGGGGTTTTCTGCAGGAGGAAAGGCAACCCCTTAACCACAGGCCAAGCCAACCTTTTTCCGCTGTAGCTTTTGCTTTTCCCTGAATTCTTCCATTTTCCTGGCCTCTTCTCTCAGAGTCTGTGCGAGCTGAATGTGACATTGTGCCACGTTGTCAACTTCTGCAAAAAAGGAAAAAAGTGTCAAGAGGATGAGCGAGGTCTATATCCATCTGCCTTAAAGTATACAAGACTGTGTCAAGCTGCCTGGTGCCGTTAATATCACTCATTATCACTTCATAAGCCCCTCCGTGCGCCCAGGTCTCGTGGACTTGTTTTAATGGTCTTCAACTTCAACCTGGACTGACAGATGAGCAATTGATGGTCTGTTCCCATCAGCCCCTGGCCGGACTTTATCTGCTAATATTGAGCTTCTCCATCATCTCTTCCCCCTGAGGTAGTCACTTTGATGTCTGTGTGCTCCATCTGGAGAAGCCCACATGTACAGTCGGATATTACTTTGAAGACAAAGTTGCCCCCTGACTCACGTCATGGTATTTTCAGTCGCCTTATATGCACGTGAAAGTTGGACATTGAATACGGAAGCTCAAAGAAGAACAAATGAATCTGAATTATGGTGCTGGCGAAGAACGTTGACAGTACCATGAACTACCAAGAAAAAAATCTGTCTTGGAAGAAGTACACCCAGAAGGCTCCTTTAAGGCAAGGGTGGTGAGCCTTCGTCTCCGGTACTTGGGACACGTTGTCAGGAAAGAACAGTTCCTGGGAAGGACGTCATGCCTGGGAAAGCAGTGTGGCCGTGAAAAAGAGGAAGGCCATTGACAAGATGGATCGACAACAATTGGATCAATAGATGCAAAGGCACTTAACAGGGGAGGTTGGCAGGAAATGGGGTGCTAACAATGGGCACAAGGCCGAAGCAGTGTGATTGAACTGTTGAGATGTTCTGATATGTGAATTGTATGTTGGTGAGATTATTTTAGAAAATCAACAAACTAATTTTGAAAAGGTGGATTGACACTGGTTGCATCGAGGGACTCAAACCTAGAACAGCAGTGCGGAGGGCAGCCCAGGACCGGGCAGTGTTTTGGTCTCCTGCGCATGGGTCCCTATAGACTGGAACTGACTCTACAGCACCTGAGAAAAACAATGCCCCCGGGAGCCTTGGTGGCATAATAATTACTCTTTGGCTGCTGAGTTAGTTAATTGTGCCAGCCTGGCCGATAATCACATGTGGGTCTGGTTGAAAGGCGGAGGGAGAAATGGGTGGTGAAGCCTCGCCTTTCTAGTTCTCGGGTCTCTTGTTTTGTGATGGTTGCACCGGGTGCAGCTGCCTTAGCAGTTCCCTGCTTCAGCTCGCAAGATTGACTTCCTACAAGACATCCCCAAGGAGAAGCCACATGGATCTATCCCGATGCAGCCCTGGGTGCTGGAGCAGCCGTGTGGAGACCCCTGCTAGTGCTGAGATGCTTGTTCATTCACTGACTCAGCTTTCCTCCTGCAGTCGGCATCATTGCCTCTGTTTTGTGAGGTGGAGGACTTTGTGGACTGGTGTTGGGTTAATGGGTTAATGTTGGACTTGTGGGCTTGGGCAGCATTGGGTTGGGATGTTTTCGTGATGCACCTTTTCTTTACATAAAACTCTCTTATATATGAGTTGCTGTGGATTTGTTTCTCCAATGTACCTAGACTAATACAGCTGCTAACCTCAAGGTCAGCAGTTCAAAACCACTAGCTAGCCACTTTGTGGGGAAAAGAAGCTTTCTACTTCCATAAAGAGTTACAGTCTCAAAAGCCCAGAGGGACAGGTCTACCCTGTTCTCGAGGGTCACTCTGGGTTGGAATTGACTTGATGACAGTGTGCTTCTGCGTTCATGCACCTGAATGGCCATGGCCATCAATACCAAGGTGAGAAAAGCTTTAGCTTCGCACCCAACAACATATACATATTCCTTTCAGCTTTGAAAAAATGTAAGGCACAGCTATTCTTGGTATTGACCAGTCCGAGGAATCAGTACTGTTGAAGGGAAGGTGGGTGTTATCAGTGCATTGCTGAAGGACATTTAGGAGCACAAATTAGCATTTTAGATGTAAGGGGAGGAGGCAGATCGGTAAGAACTGCAATAGAAAGACACTAGTAATAAGTTGTTAAGTACAGCAATCCCCTTTGAGGAGCAATATGTATAGGATGAACTTATTTATGTACAAAACACTCACATCTCTGTGTATATGCTTTCTTTTTTCCAGGGGTGGGGCGGTTGCACGCCCACACACACAACAGAGAAATATAAAGCAAATGGAAGGGGATTTAGGCTGAAATGGACTTAATTACATAGGTTCCCAGACTTATTAGCCTAAAGAACCTTTTCCGGTGGGGGGTGGAGGATGGAGGGACACTCAGGGCCTCCCTGGCAATTCAAAACTTTTGTTCATAACACAGGATGATGTGTAGGTGAATCTTATAAAAACCCTTAGCACAGAAATATCAAGTATTCTGGACAACAGAAGCCCTAGAGACAATTTCTGAATAACAGGCTTAGGAAATAGTAGAATAGGACAGGACCCTTCCTGTCGAAGACCAAAGTCCTAAGGAAGCTGGCCCAGTGCCAGGGCCTCGCCCTAATTTCTGAACTCCCAATTACCATGATATTAGAGCCATCAAAACTAGACTAAAATCTGATGTCCAAATTCCAAGTTACATGTATGACCAAAGGTTAGAATCAAAAGCAGAAATGAAGGAAGAATGGATGACTCGTGTCTTCCATTTTGACCTTCCAGTTACAATACCAAATCAATAATTAGCTCTCTAGCAAAAGCACAGAGGGCTACCTTGGGATAAAATGAATTCCCTTTCAATATGGTGCAGAGAAGTTGAACTTCACCCCAGTAGAGTTGGAGCATGACAACTCAATTTGACAATGTATTTCCAAAGACTTTCTAGTCTGCTTCTGAATCAGCCTTGGCCATTTCTCAAGTAGCATAATAAGCTAGCACGCCCCATTCAAAATAAGAAACTAAGCTGCGGTGATCCAGGTCATGTGCTATCAACAGCCAGGACTTTAGACTCGCGTCTTTTCAAGGTGCACAACATCCTTAATAGACCACATCAGAAGGCTCCAATTTGGAAACTCTACTGAGCAAATTGGAGTTTACCTTAAACTCACCGATAGCAGATTTAAGGAACTGAAACCATCCTTGGACTTAAGGCTGAAATGCCCTGGGTGTGAAAAGAAGCAGATGAGTGAGTGCTATGGGAGGATAAGGATTGGACTTTGGCTTGGACCTCTTGCTGTGAGCGTGTCCGATGAACGGCAGCTTGGGACTACCACACGTGTGTCCTTTGCATGCTCTTTCTTTTTGTGACATGTCTTAGTCTAGTAGGCAAGGTTCTGCTTTGTGAATGAGCGTTATGGGAAGTTTTGCCCTATCTCTACGCCTCATTGTTTCCATAAATAGTGTCCAGTCACTTGAGTCATTCATCTGTACAGGACAACAATCGATGTAGTTTCATCTTAAAAGTTTCCCTATACATGAATATTTTCCTTTAAAAATATTCCAGTATTTGAAATTCTATAACATTAATGATATCAATAGAATAACCATACGCCCCAAGGGGATGATTTACAATGTTCCCCAGCAAAAGGATAATGATGGCTCTAAAGTGGACCAGGAACCTATATGAACCACAGATATATGAATGGGTTTTGTGGTTCAAGTAAATACTGTCATCTACGTGATCGCTCTCCCAACCGTCGTCGCTGGCCACTCTGCCACAGGCTGTTTCTGCAGGACCGTCTGCTGGGCGGTGTGGCAGATTCTCATCACAGCTCTGCCACTTCCCGACTCTCCTCAACTACCAGACGGTGACACCGCGCACAGTAGACAAGCCGAGAAAGTGAACAACAGCACCAGGGGGGAAGGGACTCCTCAATGTGATCAGCCAGACGGACCGCAAAGGGTAGCGTTTCCCCCAAAACAAAGCTCCCCAGGCAGGAAGGGGCCAGGTAAGAAAGAAGAGCAATGGTGAAGGGGGAAGTCGGTAGAGTGCTGCGGCGCTGAGAGAATCGCAGCAAAACGGGTAAGAAGTGTTGAATGGAAAACAAATTTGCTCCGTACACTTACACCCAAACTACAAGGAAAAGTAAAACAATAAAAATGACACACAACAAGAGTTCTTTATGATGTGAATTCTAGTAAGAATCAAATGAAATCATGCGTCTGGAAAAATTAATTATGTGAAAATGTCTTATGTAACCTATGAGGTGTGATTATTCTTTTTATATTCTGGTAGTCTTGATAACTTGGTGCATAAGAATTTTTCATTTCTCTTTACATGCATTTTTAATGAAAATGTAGCAACTTCTGAAAAATTTAAGTAGCTGCTCAGTTAAAGGACAAAATAAATAAATAAAGGAAATTTTGAAGTCAAAAGGCTGTAAAAAGTCCAAGTTGTAAAAATCTAACATTGCTTCAATCCAACTCGCCTTGTCATTCTGAGCAAGCAAACATTAAAGCTACAATGTCCAAACTGAATACGAACAATGAATGTGGTAGTCCAGGAGAAATGGCTGGACGATCACAACACATGCCCAGTCCTGGCTCTGCAGGACGTCCTCTGGGAGGCGCCTGGACATAGCAACAGGGAGGGGGCGCTGAACCAAGGGCCCAAGTAGAGAAAATGTTTTGAGACTGATGATGGCAACATATGTACAAATGTGCTTGAATATGTACAAATGTGCTTGACACATGGTTGGATGGGTGGATTGTAATAAGAGCTGTATGAGGCCCCAATAAAATTATTTTTAAAAAAAAAGAAACGTGGGTTGAGAGACATGTCTGGTTGGGGCCAGTGGGAGTGTGAATAAGAACGTGGGTGATTATGTGTCTGAGCTGGAACTAAGCATTAAAGAGAGCATCGGATTACCCAGTAAGCAAGATAAGCACAGTCTTACTTGTGCTTACTTAATAATCTGTAGTGAACAATTTCACAGGGAGTTCAACATATCCCAAGTGAACCCGTGTTTACCCTGCTTATTGGGCAATTCCTCCTTGAATAAAGAGGTTCCTCTAAAGTAGTGGTTCTCACACGTGGGCCCTGCGTGCCAGTGGAATCCTCATTACTGGGAACTTGTGAATCAGGCATGTCTCAGTTCCATTCTCTTACACCAGAAACTCAGGTGAGGGGCCCACGGAGGTAGTGCCCCAGTGATCTCTGCTAATGACCAGGTGATCGTGAGGCGCATTCGCGTGAGGGGACCTTTGCTATGGGGAAGTCCACCAGTCACACAGCACAAAGGGCACAGGTAAAAGGCACGTTGGCTCATTGCAACTCTGCACAGTTCGTTGTTGCCTTAAACAGGCATCCTCAAACGACAACCAGCAGGCCACATGCGGCCCACCAAGGACATTTATCCGGCCCGCCAGGTATTTTTGCCCTGTTTGGTTTTTTACTTCAAAATAAGATATGTGCAGTGTGCATAGGAATTTGTTCATATTTTTTTAAAACGATAGTCCAGCCCTCCAGTGGGTCTGAGGGACAGTGAACTGGCCCCCTGCTTAAAAAGTTTGAGGACCCCTGCCTTAGAAGCTGCCATCACCTTTTCCCTACTCAATCTGAGCATGCTATTCAAACTAAAACCCACCTTTAAAGATAGATACAGAGCTTGCCAAGGGCAGCAAATACACTTTGGAAATCACACGTTGAGAGCAGCGGGGAGGGAGAGGGGAAAATGAGGAGCTGATGCCAGGGGCTTCCGTGGAGAGCAAATGTTTTGAGAATGATGAGGCAGTGAATGTACAAATGTGCTTTATACAATTGATGTATGTATGGATTGTGATAAGAGTTGTATGAGCCCCCAATAAAATGATTTAAAGAAATAAAAATGAAAAAGAAATCACTTACGCTGCTTGAAGATGTCAAGGGCCCGCTTCAGAGTGCTAAAAAAAATAAAAATAAAAACAAGCACAGGTATCATTTCAGTTCTAGAAATTGTCTGCACAATCTTATTATAATGCCCTTGCCTCTTTCTCTCTGTACCCAAATCACTGCCATTGATTGGTTCTGACTCATAGTGACCCTATACGACATGGTGGAACAGCCCCGTGGTTTTCCAGTACTGTAACTCTTTCTCCATCAGAGATGCTGCTGGTTTCAAACTGCTGACCTTGAGATTAGCAGCCCAACATAGAACCACTATGCCACCAGGGCTCCTTCTGTGCACATCTTAACGTATCGCCTACAGACAGACTCATCTTTGCCAACTTGAAGCACAGCAAAAGATGGATACTTTGACGTCTAGTGTTCCCTATTTTACATGGTCAATTCTGGCCATTAGAGATGCAAATACACGGTAATGAGGAAAGGGATTGAACCCTAGCTCCTGATCACTCCCTCTTCATTCGTTCGGTCAGTGCGTGTTTACTGGATATGAGCTATGGGGCAAGCACGGTGCCCTATGTTGGAGACGCAGTGATGTACAGCAGATGTTGTCCCAATCCCCAGACGCTAAGGGAGGAAATGGACATTAAACCAACTGTATGACTTTCCCATGCTGTGTAACAGCTACCACATTTATTACCTCCACGCTGCTCTGGGTCAAGAGTCTGGAGATGCTTGGCTGAGCTGTCCGCTTAGACTCTCACAAGACTGAAATCCAGGTGTGAGCCAGGCTCCCTGCTCGTGGGAGACTTGGCTGGGGAAGACGCTCCGGCAGGGCTCTCTCTCTGGCCGCTTTGGGACTGAGAGAGACCTGTCAGCTGGAAGCCGCGCTCAGCTTCTAGAAGCTGCCTTCTCAGGCTTTCCCAGCATGGCCTTGTTCTTCCTCAAGCCACTGAGGCACATCTCTACAACAAGTCAGCCAGGGAGATAGGAGTTTCATCTAATGGAGTCATGAGGATAACATCGCATTGCCATCTGAGGGGGGTTTCATAAAATTCATGGGAAAATGGAATTAAAAGATAACGGAATTTTTCCATGAACTTTTTGAAGTGCCCTTGTATGGCAGGCCTGGAAGACCAGGACTCATTTTTCATACTGTCTCTCAGGAGATCTCGTTCACTCCCTGATAATCAACTGCCGTTACCCGTGGTTTTAACCCCAGCCTACAATTCCTGAAGGAGACCCTCCTGAGCCCGACCGTGGGAATTTTCCTGCTCCCTGCAGTCTACATGGAGACTGATCTCTCTGGGCTCACTCCAGCCGCTCCAGCGGAGACTTCCTAAATGCATGGTCCCCTCAGCAGAGCAGCAGGGGATCATGGATTACGTTGGGTACGTACGCCTCTATCGTCATTCTGCTCTTTTTGTTTTCAAAGTAAAACCAATCGTAATTTTCAAACGGTCCCTTCTTTCAGCTACCGCACTTTTAGCACCTTGTCTATTTATCCCCCCAACAGAAGACAGGTCTTTCTCCCCTGCCTTTTCTTCTCCTCTCCTGCTTCTTTTATAGTAACTTATGGGGGGTTACATTTCAGATCGTTAACTTTGTACTCCACAGTCTAACCTACTGATCAAACCCCTCATCGGCTCCCTGCTCTCCGGCTCCATCACTTCCCCTCTATCTCCTGTGGACCCCTCCTCTACTTCACCCTCGTCCACACCTTCAGCTGTCTAGCCCCCAGCTTTACCCTCCTCTTGCCCTCCCCCATCTCCCTGCCTGTTCTTACACAAACAACCCCACCAATGCCTACAAACACATCAGAAAAACAAAAATGTACGATCTCTGCCTACTCTGTCTGGTTTTATGATACAATTCCAAGGGGGCACAAACATACTAGAAAAGTATTCGGAGCCAAAAAAGGTACCAATGGTTTGGGACAGTCGCTGGCAAACTGGGGTTCTCAACCCATGGGTGGCTCTTCCTGTGCATACACATGGTCTGAAGTAAAATCGAAAATGAAAGTAAAACGATCATAGTCTAATTTATCACATTTTAAAAGAGTATTATTCAGATAATGGTGATTTTATTTGTTTGTAAAAATAGATTTGTGGCTCTCAAATAATTTTTTAATTGTTGTGAGTGCCAGGATTGGCTTTTCCATCTCAGAAATTTGCCGACCATGGTGCAGAAGAATGAATGAGGTTCATTGAACACTGAACTTATTGCTGGAGTTACTGAATTATTGAAAAAGAAATATGGATATGGAAATAGGTGCAATTTAATGTATACCCCCACAGTGAGTTATGAGGTCCAAAAACCAGCCCTTGTGATAAATGTCTATTTAGGGTCTAAAATCAATATTAACACATGTTTTAAAAATTTGTCCACTGGTTTGGTGGGCGGAGGGGTAATGCAGAACAGAATTTCAAATTCTCATAGAGCTAGACTTTCTGGAGCCATTGAGGATGGAGGAACCTGAAACTATTACCATGAAGAACTCTAAATCTTAAACCAAAAATATCCCCTGAAGTCATTTTGAAACTAAACAACAGGTTAGTTTAACTTGGTGGGGGTTGAGGGAGGGAGCTGCTTTGAACATTTTGTATTTTTAAGAACTAATTTCCTTAGAACTGTGGCTTTCCCCTTTTAATTACAACCCACAGTTTCATAAACAAAAATGTATACATTTACATCTTGATCCTATGTGTATCTATAAACATATAAGGGAGTCCTGGGGGTGGTGTGGGTTAGGTGATGGGTTGCTAGATGCAAGGTTGGAAGTTCAATTCCTCCACCCACTCAGCAGAAGGACGAGGGCGTCTGCTCCCATAGGATGTGCAGTTTCTTGAAATCCTAGCTGTGGCCGCCATGCGACAGAATCAACTTGCCTCGTGGCAGTGGGTTTGGGTTTGGCGTTTATCGGCATGGGCTCACATTGACGAGAGGAACTCGAGCAATTAGGGGGAAGTGAGTTGGTGTTGATGAGGAAGGAAGAGGTCAAAGAGGAGGATGAGCCTGTTTGCCCAACTCGGAGTAAAAGCAGTGCTTATGAAGCGTCCGTGTAGAGACTGCTCCATTGGGATTATGTTTCGCTGTGTATGTTTGCAACAACAATGAAAGTTCATTAAAAAGTCACCTGACCCTGGAAGGGACTCGGAACAGTGGCAGCCCCCTGGCAATGACCCGTGCTAGAGCTGAGTGCCCTCTAGGTCACCTCCTTTCCTTGGCAACTTCCCTGCTGTGAGAAGCCCAGGCAGTCATGCATAGACCGGCCGGCATAGATGGTCTAGTGCCCACCCCAGCTGAGCCCAGCCTTGGAGTCCTCCAGCCCAAGCTCCGATGGACCTGTCCCAGAAGCTTTCAGGAGTGTTCCCCTGCCAGCATGGAGTCCTCCCAGCAGAGACAAGAAATCCTCCAACGCGTCCTGTCCAGGTCCCTGTCCCCACAGTTTCCATTGGAAACTGCTGGCATGTGGAACCATCGACTGAGCCAAAAAGGCCATCTATAAACCTTGCTGGCTCTCACTGTGAAATAAAGCAGTCATAAAATCCATTCTTAGGACAATTGGGTATGCGCTTCTAGGCGTGGGATTATAGGAGCTCACATTTTTCACTTTTGTGTATGTTCGAACATTTTCATAAACTATTTAAATATTTCCACACACACAAAATGATGCTCGGCGCATATGGCAAATATAAATAATTGTTCGATTGTTAAAATGTGCCAGCGTCAGCCTTTTTTGTGGTTCTGTGTCGATTGTCCTCTTTCCTTTTAATTGCCAAAATAAAATAAAACATAACCAGTAAGCAAACCCTCCCTGAAGGAATAAGTTCTAGCTGAGCGTATCAAGGACTTTTCTCTTCTGCTTTCCTCCTTCTCCAGATCCAGCGCCTTTGTTTGCCATCTGGGATGAGAGGGAGGGAGGGAGGGAGGGAGGGGGAGAGGGAGAGGCACATCCTCAGCCCCATCAGGATGCTTGGAGGGACACGCTGCAGGGCAGCGCTGCAGTGGTCTGCCGCTCAGCCAAAAGTGTGCTCACAGCTAAATAACTAGGTCTGCAGAGCAAGGATTCCGAACTCCTCCTCCCGCCCCCCTTGGCATGCTTACTTTGGAGAAAGACTCCAGAGACTCCCATCGGAACAGGGCCAGTTACAGAATGAGCAGGGCCTGGAGCCGCATAGGCACAATGGTTGAGCACTGACTGAGTGGTCCACAACTGGAGCCCAGCAGCCTCACCATGGGAGAAAGAGGTGGCCATCCGCTCCCATAAAGATTTGCAATCCCAAACTCTCCGGCGCCAGTTGATCCCAGCTCCCGGTGACCCCTTGGGCAGAGTAGAACTGCCGTGCTGGGTTTTCCCAGGGCTGTAACTCTTGACGGGAGCAGAAAGTCTCACCTTGCGGTTAGCAACCCAACATGTGAGCCCCTGCACGACCCAGGGCCCCTCACGGTTCCCAGTAGAGCATAGGAAAGGCTGTGGGGCACTTCCACTCTGTCCTAGCAGGTTGCGATGTGTTAGGATCAGCTCACGGCAGCGGGCTTTGTTTCGGTTTGGGGGTTTGCATTTGTTGACTTATTTGGGGTGCAAAATGAGAGCGCCAGGGCCCTTGTTGATAAATTATGTAGAATTGTGACTTGAGGAAGGCAGTGCTAAAGCAGAGGGGCACCCTTCTAATTGAATGACCGTCCATCTGCCCGGGGCGTCGGCCCTGCATAGAGCAGGATATTCCTAAGGAGGGGCCGGGCCCTGGCCTCCCAGCCTCCTCGGAGTCCTCAAGGAACAACCGAAGAGCGAATGACTGCCGTGGTGAAAGCTCACACCGGTGGAGAGAGCCACAGAATGGTGCGAAGACAGGCTCTCACCGTCATCACAAATAAGTCACGGTGGTGCCCTGGTGCTGTTGTGGTTACGTTGGGCTACAATCCACGTGTTGGTCAGCAGTTGGAAGGCACCAGCAGCTTTGCGGGGGGAACAGACTGGGCTTTCTACTCCCATAAACAGTGACAGTCCCGACATCCACAGGGAGTCACTCGGAGTGGGCATGGACCCAAGGGCAGTGAGTTTGGTTTGGGTCTGGGCGTGAGAACAAAAGCAACCCAACACACAACCAAAGTCACCTCCTTGACAGTTCTACTCTAAAATTATAAATACGATTCATCCTCCCTATGAATCAGCATGAATCGAAAAGGACCTCAAAGTAAGCATATGAATAGTAGACATGGCTTTAGCGTCCATGTGTAGCCTTCTTTCTGCTTGTCTCTATTTGTCATAACTTGATATAAGAAAAAAATTTTTTTCTTTTTCACCCAGCCCCTTGACTGCGTCCTACTGGCCAACTCTGACTGTGGAAATGTTGGGAGTCTCTGGGCCAGATGAGTGGACCTGGCGGGCGGTCAGGCAGAAATAGGGCACCTACTTGATCTCATATTGTCCACATGGCTTCTTCCTAGAGAGGTTGAGCAGGTCTTTGCCATATCTCTCTTCAATGGATGCCCTAAGAAGAAGAGAAGAGAGAGTGATGAGTTCTTCTCGGGGCTGATTCCGGCCCCTTTGTTTTGACTGCACTTTTGGCGGTACAGTCTCAGCTATAATGCCATTCTCCATGGCACGTCCTCTGATTTGCAAAAAACAAAAAGACCTTCATCGACACGACAAGGTGGGCTTCACCAGCTAGAAGTCTACTGCACGAACTCTACGAGAATAAGTAAAAGAGTATTGGTACTGGGGTTCCAGGTCATACCTACACGGGTTTCTTCCAAACAAAATGTGTCTCAATGTGTCTCCGTGTTCAATGGAGGGCTGCAGACAGGTTCGCTCAGTAATACACTTGTCTCGGTCTCATGAAGATGCCTTCAAAAAAGATCCAATTACAAGAGCAGCTTCTAAGTGGAGCTGCTGCGCCCGTTCAATTCAAGAGAGAGAAGTCAGCTGAGAAGGTTAGGGTGACTTGTGGTGGGTGGGGGGCTTCCAAGAGGTAATACTGATTGATTTTTGGTGAAGGACATACAATGATCATAGGGGGCTTGTATGAAGAAAATGTAACACTGCATTGGTGGGGAAAAGGCAGGAAAGTTGTGTTGGGGACTTCCCCCCTACCCCTCCCCATTATGACAATGTACCTGCTCATCCTTCCAGGGTGGAAAGGTTAGCCTATGAGAATTGTGTTGGGAATCCTTACTTCATCCACCCTAAAGCTCTGCTCTTGTCCTTTCTAACCTCCTTTTGTTCCGCAAACTCAAAGAACATTGAAAGGGAACATGTTTGGGGCCCTTCAAAGATTTCAAAACTGTCCCTTGGGTGTGGCCTGGATCACAGGGCACAGGGAAGGGTGAGCGACATGGAACCACTGAGGCACGGCCTTCAGCAGAGCCTGGATCTCTGTGGAGGATAGATTGAGAAACAATGGCTTCACGTGCTTAAATTTGTGCTTGATAAAGCCTTTATTATTTTGTTTAATAAAAGTATCTATGGTTCTGTAGCAATACTTTTAGAATTACCCTTGTACTTAGCTCTCTGCTTACCAATGGTCTGATTTTGCTTTGTTTTTTTCAGGCAAATTTTTCAAAACCATCATCCAAGAATTGAAAACAAGGAAGATGAAGCAAGAGATATTGCCATCGAAGAGCTATTTCCATCCCTGAGATCCAACCTTGCTCTCATCTTCTCTAAGCACACCCTTTCAGCTCAAAGACACATGCAAACCATGTATAGGAGAGTGGGAATATCAGACGTAACCTTGCAGTCGCCCCAGAGCAGCTGATTCTCACTCAGTGTTGCAATAGTCTAAAGCATTATATATTCCCCCGCCTCACGTTCTCTACCACCATATCTGCGCTTTGTCCCAACCCTGAGTTTATCTAGCCCAGGTGATTAGTTGTGGTTCTTTTTTCCCAGGTGATAAGTTTAAGGAACACAGTTAAGTGCTCAGTTGCTAAACAAAAGGCTGGCAGTTTGAAGCCACCAGCAGCTATACCAGAGAAAGGCCTGACGTTTGCTCCCATAAAGATTATAGCCTCAAGGAAATAGAGGAAAGAACTTGGAGGAAAAGGGCATTATAGAGGTATGCACATATAAATATAGGCATGTTCATATGTAAATATATATATATGATGATGGGGAAATAGATCTATGTGCATATATTTATAGGTTTAATGTTAAGGTTGCAGTGGACATTGGGCCTCTACTCAAGTACTCCCTCAATGCAAGAACACTTTGTTCTATTAAACTGGCATTCCATGATGCTCAACTTGCGGACACGATCGCTGAAGACAAAGCAGGTGCAGAAGCAAATGTGGTGAAGAAAGCTGATGGTGCCCAGCTATCAAAAGATATAGAGTCTGGGGTAAAGATAACGGCTTGAAGATAAACAAGCGGCCATCTAGCTGAGAAGCAACTAAGCCCACAAGGAAGAGGCACACCAGCCTGTGTGATCAGGAGGTGTC